GCGGGAAAGACGTGGAGATCATTCGTGGTGTGGGGAGCTCCGTGTAGGGTAGGCTTGCGCGGACACGCGGGAACCCGAACGCTCGAGTTCGCGATCCGACGCGGCTCTTCAAGTCGTTGACGTGTTTGCCGTCGCCTAAGGAAGCGCGCAGCCGCGCAGCCGCGCAGCCGGTGTGGAGGTGAGTTTACGCGGACCCAGGAAGGATATTGTAGCACCCTATTCAACAGGCGCAGGGCCGGAGACAGGCAGTGGGGTCAGGAGCAGCGACGGGAGACTCTCCACTGACGCTCCCTCTCTCCGCACGACAGCAGAAGGTCGTGGACGAGTGTCAGGACCAGCGATCCTGCCAGCTGCCGGTGAACAGCCGCGTGTTCGGACTGGACCCCTGTCCCGGCACCAGCAAGTACCTGATCGTGTCCTACAAGTGCAGGCCAGGTGGGACACCGGAACATTCCGATCTTAAATGTTACTGCGAGCAACATGTGAACATAAGAGGGTTTGCAAACGACGGGAGCTCGTTCGGTACAAGGGCTCACACGCTTGGCTGAGCAGCCTGATGCCTGCTCCCACCACCCTTTGTGTGAAGAGGTACCCCCCCGTTCTCAGTCCTTAATGCTCTTTCCCTTAGTTTGCACTCACGCCCCTCTGCCACACGCCTCGCTGTTGAAAACTCCTGCTGCATGAGGGGAGGTTTTATCCGAGTTGCCAAAAATGAGGCCTAGAACTAGTTATCACGTCACCTGCCAGCGGTCAAATGATCTACTGTCGGGGAGAATGGTGCTGACATTGTTAACTGGGGTGTTGTTATTCTCCTTAAACATGAGGTCTGGCAGCTCCCAGCTCCCAGGGTTTTCCAAAGGCCGTCCTTTCCAGCAGTGCGAACACTGTATCCCGAGTCCAATGGAATGTGAAATGAACGCTCGTCTGTTTCAGCAACACTTACAGTGCAGCCGATATGGTGCAGTTCAGCTTTTAATATACTACGAGTAAACAGTACCGTTATTTGTAATTGCTATAGGTCAATGTACTTCAGTTTGGTTTCAGATTTAAATCAGAGGCCCTGGGGAACACACGTTTCTTAAAAAACGTTGCCGCCCCAGCGTGCACAGATTAAAAACACGCAGCTAATTTGCGTGCCTGTTCTCCCGCGTGTGGCCCCACCCTGCAGAGAATCACCGCAGCAAGCTGGCGTGTGAGAACGACAGGCTCCGGCTGGTGTGCCGGAACGACACGGTGCTGGCCATCTACTCCGCCACCTTCGGACACCTGCTGCACGGGAGCCCGCAGTGCCCGGACGAGCCGGCCTCCGGGCCGGACATGGGTGAGAGCACAGCAGGGGGGCTCTGGGGAGGGGAGGAGAAAGGAGTTAACGTACTGTAGTTTGTCACTGCCCGGAGCAGGGTAAAGACCCTCGACTGCAGACAACCCTCCAGGGCAGTGTAGTGCTGTGGCAGCGGGTGCCCAGAATCACTGGGTGACAGAGCCGGTTCTCCGACCACAGGAACCGGACTGTACCGTCAGGGCATGTTCACAACCCCTTCAGCCAGTTTGCAGAAGGATTGTCTCGGGCCCAGCAACTAGCGGCCGCTCACAAATGTACCTGAAGGAGCGCAACAGCTCTCACCTTGGACCCCAGGATATGCATCAGATTTTGTAGGTCACTTTGTGGGCACCCCAGGTTTTTAGAAGAAGGAGCTTCTTGGCGATATGTTTTATCGGCTTCAATGAATACATTTTTTTTATCATAGCATTATATGCTGAGGGTAATGTAGAGAATAAATACACCCATTCACATTAGACGTAAAAGCGAAAAGCTTTTCACACGGGGCAGTAACATAATTTTTTGTTTGCGAGCAATTGCCCCCTCTAGTGGATAACACCTGCCATCGCACTGTCATTTAAATTTCGTCGACTCGGTGTCGAACACTTGCATTGCATCGAAGAAAAAAAAACGTTAGTACCTTCGGATTAACAAAAAAGACGTGAAGAAAACAACACGATTATAAAGCAGCACAATCGGTATGAATGAGGCCGATCGGACAACCCTGCATTGTTGTGGTGCTTTGCAGAGTGTCTGTCCCCGTCGGCTCTGAGGAAGGTGTCTCGCAGGTGTCACGGGAGACCGAACTGCTCGGTACTCGCGGACACGCAGAGCTTCGGCGACCCCTGTTTTCCGGGGATGAAGAAGCACCTCCGTGTGTCCTATGCATGTGGTGAGTGAGACTGGGTAAAAACGCAATTTAAATATTCGTTGTCACGGGCAAATTTTGTGGCCTGCCTTTGCCCTGCATCTGTCAATGTCCACGGTTAATTTGAATAGATTGAAATGACAGGAAAAGGAGGACTGGAGAAAGATGAGAAAAAGGAGAGGAGAGTATTCAGCCTCACTAGCTCTTTTTTGCTAGAGGCCAACTGGTCCTAGATCTCATCCCACCTCTCATTCCCCTTCTTCCATGACAGAGAAAAGCTGAGCAGCTTGTTCCACACTCCCACCACACTTTGTGTAAATAAGAGCCTCCTGTAATCAGTAATCAAAGCCCCTGACGATCTGCCTCAGGCAGTTGCACATTGGGATTTTGATCCCTGTCTGTCAGCCAGCTTGCCTTTTATGTTTTTTGCGAGTTCTCTAGATGAGGGCTCCTTCCCTTGTGTTTGTGACTCTCCCTGTCTTACAGTGCCCAGAGTTCTCCTGGAGGAGCTGGGACGGGGCTCTCCAGACCCTTTCTCCATCTCCGACTACACTCACGGTGAGAGACCCGCGGGCTGTCCTGGAGCTTTCACGTTTATCAGCGCTCTTATCGGACAGCGGCCTGCAGTATCCACACCAGACATCAGAGGACACGAGACAAAGGGTTCCAAAACCCACAGTGGCGAGAACACTCCTTTCTGGTTCAGCATTTGTGGCACCTCATTCGTGAATTATGAGTATGGATATCGAGGAAAATAGGCCAAAACGTGCGAGCCCCTAGTTTTTGTATCAATAATCGCTGACTCTTTAACTATCTTGGTTTTTCTCCCATTTTCCTGATCTTTAAAGTGTTAGCAAGAAAAGATCTGAACAAGCGATGATTTTATACATCTTGCTTAAACTCAACGGGTTATTTAACATTATTTATTGGTCACGCCAACGTTTAGAATCCGTGTCCAAAAGACATCTCTGTCATTTTCCTTGCACACACCGGCTCACCAGCAGAGATGCCATATTTCAGTCCCAGAGCAGCGTGAAGGAAATGACAGCAGATCACAAGGCGATCAATAGAGATACACGGCCCATCTGCTGCCTTCGCTGAGAGCTCTGCACGTCCCCGGGGGTGAGGCAGGACGGCCTGAGGTGCCCCCGCTGGCAGGCTCCCAGCACAGCACACGCAGGGTTAAACATACTGGTCTGGCCTTCTCAGCGGCCCCTAAGCCCAGTCCCTCTTCACCCACAGGAGGCTGGTACACTGGCCCCGGAGTGTCCAGGCTTCATGGGAAGGTGGTGGTTTTTACCAGTGCTTTGGAGGTCTTTGCCCGAGTCTGGGGTACGTCGCTGTGTGTTGTGCTCAGCCCCAGGGGCCTCCGTGTCTGGTTCAGTGTGGTCTGGGCGTCAGGCAGAGTGAAAGTGAGAGTGAGAGTGTGTGGAGAAAGGTCCAGGTCTCTAGTGGCTCCTAAACAGCGAGCCCAGGGCACTGCAGAGGCAGTAGCTCCATGAACGCAACAAGAGGAAGGACTAAGTCTGCATGCCGGTTCTTATTTTACCCATCCTATTACATATTAGCAATCCCCCCCAGTTTTCTGTTTCTGTTACTGTACACGGTGTGTTCTATTTGGTGTGAAACACTGACTCTGGCAGCCATCAGGGTGCTGGTGTCGTCCCTGTTTGAGCTGTACCAGACAGAGCGGGCCCGACGAGCCCGACGAGCCTGACGAGCCTGACGAGCCCCGCCCCTGCCGGCTCTTTCCCCAGGCCTGCCCGAGACGGTGGCCCTGTACTTCGTCTCGGGGATCTGCGCCGGCCTGGTCTTCCTCCTGTGCGTGTTCGGGCTGAAGTCCATGGTGCTGCGGGACGCGAAGAGCCTGTGGCTGGAGCTCGAGGTGGCCCGGAAGGCCCGCCTGGCCCGGAAGGCGGCGGCGCTGGCGCCGGCCCGGCGGGAGCTGATGGCGGACCTGGAGGACGACAGCTCCTCCGACTCCTCGTTCCGCCGCCTGACCTGGGCCTACCGCACGGCCGACACCCTCTTCAGCTCCGAGCTGACCGTGGAAATGGAGGAGAGGGGCGACGGCAAGGAGCTGCAGGAGGGGGACATGTGGCTGCCGGGCGACTCCAGCCCCTACGCCATCCACAAGATCCAGGCCTCCGGCCCCTAGGGAGCGGCACGCCGGAGTTCTGGGACAGCCGGGCTCGGAGTGACCCAGATCAGCTCATCACGGGCTCAACGGGACCCCTTTAACAGCTTCTCCCAGCTTCTCTTCAGGGGCTGGAGCCTCAGAGACGCCTGCAGGACCTGGAGACACGCTGCAGTCCAGCCGGATCGGGACCGGAGAGCCCCACCGCAAAGAAAGAGACGTAAAAAAACCCACCCGGAAACCTCTTGAGCGCTGAAACTTTATTTCTGTGAAGAAGGCATGAGAATTATTATTACTATTATTATTGCATGGTTTGTGAGCATTTGTCTAACAAAAAAAAATTAAAAGCCTTTGTTTACAATTAACAACTGTATGTGATGTACAGTAGCTGTACAGTTGTCTCAGAGTTTAACATGAACTTCAATGCTACAGATATTGAATGGATTAATAAAGTACTGAACTGGTTAACATTTCTCTGGTGCCTAAAACGTTAAATCAAAATTATGGTATGAATTATTTCTTTAATATTTTTTGTACCTAAATCAGCAATTAGTTTTGTTTTTTTAATGTGGTACCATAAAGCACAGTTAAAATGCAAAATGCATTATCTGCAGCTCTTGTTAAATCATGAACATGTAAAAAGTATTTTATATATTGACCTTTTAATATTTCCCTCATGTTTTTTCACTTATTACTTGCTTTGTATTGGGGAAAAAAACAATTCTAAATATAATAAATAAAACTAATAATATGTGGTTGTTATCTGTACATTTTATTTTATTCGGTTTTCTGATATGATAGTTTTGGATCCATAATAGAAAATACCACGTCAACAGCTACTTGTCGTCTCTGTCAGTTGTCTAAGATACAGTTCATTACAGACGGATAGTTCAAAGTGCTCACATTCAAAATCAGACAGTTTTGGGACAAAACAAAGTGACGAGATTAAGGAGTTACCGGCTTTGTGTGGGAAATAGTCTTGGATGACAGCAGCAAAAATTCGTGGAAATATGCCCCACGAAGAAAACTCCATCGCTGGTCAGCTGGTCGAAAGAAAACCGATAAAATAACCTGGACTTGACTTGAGGCGACCTCACCTCTTTTGCTGACATTATTAACATGTGCATTTCTTTAAAGAAAACAGTAATCAGGAATTTATATTTCTCTAACCGTGTCAGAAATTAAACCTGGGGAAAACTAGAGCACAGCCCCTTCTGTAACTCGGGGAGACGCCGATTTTGTGCGCGTCTCTTTGACGCGGCCCGTAACGTAAGACAGGGTCTTCCCAGCCGGTAGAGGGCAGTAAGTTTCGGAAATGGGGGTATATTCTTGCAGCCGCACCGCCAGGACTCTTTCTGTCGCTCGGCCGTTTTAATCCGGCTCCAGTTTCCAGGTAAAGCGCAGCTGTCGAGTGGGAGCGGAGGCGCTGGAGCCGGGGCCTGGGAGAGTCTGAGTGCGCCGCGGTGTCGAATAGGGGGCGCAGCCGAGGACATGCGACTTCCCGCCGGCGAGGGCTGCAAGACAACACTGACCTCCGGGGCAGCCAGAGCGGGTTACAGACACGACCCAGTCCGCGGACTGCGGGAGCCTCGGGATTAGTTTTCTTGGCGAGGGGGAAGATCGGGTTGTGTTACTCCGGCCCTGCTCCCGGGACACAGGTATTTTGAGCGAGGTTGGTCGGACCTCGGAAGGCACCGTGCGCCTGGTAACCCCGAGCAGGAGACCGAGAGCCCCGGCTTGTCGGCTCTGCCAGACCCCGGTCTCCAGCATTTCATTACCATTCCTCCTGGAGGAGCAGACAGCGGGGGAGGAGTGTGCCACAAATAAATACGGGACCTGGGGAAAGAAAAGAAAATACGGCCGAGCTGTGACCATCATCACACCCTTAGTCGCTGATGGAGACGTCTTCAGCATTCGGACTCTGCAAAAGCCAATGTATTGCAATATCCTTTCATTTCTGTACTTTTTTGTTTTCCGAGTATTTCCTGCCTCAGAAATACCATGCGTCTTCGTGTTAGTGAGGGAGGCACGCAAGTTGTGATAATATGCAGCGCAGGTGACTTACGCCGGACACTTTACGTCCCGTTTAAAAATGGCAATATAGCTCTTAATCGTTCTTTAAAGAAAGGGGAACAAAAAGAACGGTGCTTTTATATGTCGAACCGCATTGAAATACGTGAAGGTGATGTTCAATAGTCATAATCCAGCCGTAGAAACAGCTTGATCACACGAATCGTTGAGTTTGTGGGCATCACCCCCGGTGCAGTGTTGACAGGCACCCACGCAAGCAGGCCGGCTTGGACCCAGAGTCAGTCAATCTGTCTTGCAGCAGCCCTTGAGGGGGTGTGTTTGATACGCCCTTGTGTCCTTATCTCTCTCCCCGCCGTCTTCAAAGGCCGCACGAACCTGGCAGTGAAAATCAATCTCCGTGCACGCAGTGTAGGTTTATTGGTCATGTGCGACATCCTGACGAAGGGCTGTAAAGCGCAGGTAGGCTCGGGGTCAGAGTGCTCTCCCCTACGGTCCGCCCTGTGTCGTTTGAAAGGAGATCTCCGACATTGACAGGGTCTGCACACGTTATGACGAAAGGCATGAGTTAGGACGGCTGTGGCGCGCTGCAGTGTCACCGTGAGCCTTTTCATTCAAGGTTGGTTTGTGTTCAAAAACGTGTGGCTAGGTCTGTGATCAGTGTTTACCGTTGATCCCGAAAACGTGTACCGGTGGGACGCGGGAAAGCGTGTGTAGGCACGGCCGCGGATTTGTACATGGCTGGAGAAAACGTGAGGAATTTTGTTTTTTGGCGTTAATAAAAATGTTCCGATTGCCAGAACCCTTTAAAAATACATTACCTGCAGGAATAGACGCGGGCAGTCTTTGTTCTCGTCGCTGGTGTCGCGGGGTCGCCCGGGGCTGGTGGTGGGTGACTTGCAGATGTGTGCGGTTTCCAGCTCTGGCGCTGTGGTTTGGTTGCAAGGATGAGGCGTACTGCTAGTCTCCTCCTTATCGCTCTGGCACGCTGAAGAGGTTAGTGCCTCATTTGTGTGAGGCTCAGGACAAGAGACATGAGGTAGCAATGCCCCATGCCTCCTCCTCCTCCTTCCCCACCCTCAGCCCTGCCTCCTTAACCTGCCGCCTCACACCGTGAAAGCCCAGGAGGTCAGAGGTGGACAGAAGGAGCCCAGGCTCCTCTCCCTCATCGAGGCCGCAGGGGAGTACAAGTAAGTATCTTCTCCTCTCCGTGCTGCCTCATGCAGGCCTGGTCTCCACTGTGGAAGCAGAGTCTCCGCGAACCTGAACAGAGCCAAGCGCCGTCTGGCCCAAACCGGCTGGCTGGCTGGGACGGGAGAGAGGCGGCGCTGCACGCGCTGTCCTCGTCGCCATTCCTGTGTTCTTGTCCTGTTTCTCCGAGGCTGTGTGCTCTGGGCCCAGGAGTACGCATTGCACTTTGGCACCTGTGACAGTGCAGTAGCTTTCTGGTGCTGCCGGCTGCAGAAGTCTGTGAGTGTAAAACTCGGCTTCAGGGTACACTTCCAGCAGTAAAGCACCACCTTCAGGGGCTCGGCGGGCACAGGCCTTCCCGAGGGTCTTCTTGCTAGTGAGGCTGTGTGGGAATTGAAATGCATTCCTCCACTTTGTCACGGCTTCATCCAGTGGTGGGGGAGCTGGAGCCTGTCCCAGCAGGCAACAGGGGCAGGGTAGGGCACGGCCTGGGTGCGACGCCAGCCTGTCACAGGGCACACACTCACACAAGGGCCAGCCTTGCCAGAAGCCAATTAACCCACCAGCATGTCTTTCGACGTGTGATCCAAACCCGGGGAGAACGTCCGAACTCCACACAGACGGCACCCCAGGGCCGGAACCGGACCCTGGCCCCCGGTGCTTCAAGGCAGCAGTGCGTCTCACTCTGCCATTGTCCTGCCCGAAAGAAACATCTGTATTTTCCATTCTGAAAAGGCTTTGGGATAGAATATTGCTTGGTTGTCAGGTGCGCTGAGACATGCAGGACAGAGCAGCACCGTTTCTGCTCACTCGTTTGTTTTTAGGGGATTACAGTTCCAGCCAGCCAAGAAGCTGGGCTCATGACTTTGTTGACTCATGCAGACAGATGTTCACTCAGTTTCCATGTAATATAAGCGATTGACAGCGTCTCGGTTTTTTTTCTTTGCGAACGGCACGAGACTGGTGTGGGCTGTCATTCTGCATCACAGGGAGATGTGTGGACAGTGCTGTAGGCGGAGTGCCATCCCCTCCCCTAGTGCACTGTGCTCACAGATAGAATAAAATGTTATCTCCAATAATAATATACTAACTAGGGCCTTTTATCAATTTGGTCTGCTGAATGCTGTCTGAAAAGAGGCCTTTGTTGTCAAGTGTGCTCATGGGCTCTTGTACAACTTGAGACCCGTAACTGTGTGGCTTTCGTGGCACAGATGACATGCAAATGGAGTGATTGTATTGCTTGCAGAAGACCTGTGTCCTTGACCTGTTCCCTGTTCTGGGGGCCCTGGTGTCCCTGCCCTGTTTCAGAGTCCTGCTGCACACCATCTCTCTCCTGATGGAGGGAGGTATTAGTAGGCATTGTGGTTTAATGCATGCCCTTAAACCTTTCTCCCACTGCGATCGCGACGGCTTTGTGTTTTGCTCTTGTCCTTATTTTTCCGATGGCTGCAAAAGCCGGGATGTTTTAAGTTTTCCATCAGCCCCGAAAAAAGGTCACGAACATGAAGAGGGCATTCAGCCCCTTTTCCCAGTTTGACTGCTGGGAGTTCAGGGTTCTGGGGGTCTCCTCAAGTTGGTTCCCAAAAGAATCCAGGGTATCAGCTTCACCAACATGGCTGGGGAGCTTGTTCGAGATTTCCAAAATCTTTTGTGTGCAACTTACCTGTTCTGAACGCACTCCCCTTCAGATGATATTTTTAGGAAGTTTCTTCAGTTCTGTTAGGCAGTGTTGTTTTATCTCTGCGTTCCTCTGTCTTAAGTTAAGGACCTGTATTAAAATTAAGCTATCATCGAAATGTTGCAACAGCACGACTGCAAGACAGTCTGTGAGGTGCCACAGGTTTGCCTTTTGTAAACCGTCTTCCTTGTGTGGATGTTAAGAGACAGTTTTAGTATTCATGTTTTCAGCATCAAAAGGTGCAGTGAGTGTGGTGCAGAGGTACAGAATGATCCACTAATTGTGTGCACCAGACCAGTCGGTGAGGAGTCCCAGGTGTGATGATCGGGACAGGAGTGTCTGGTTGGTACAGTATGTCATTGGTAGTGATTGATGCCACCTTGACTGCGCAGTTCTGCATTGATCTTGACCGGAGCCCCGCCTGTTGCTTTTCCTGCAGGATTCATCCTGGTTCGATACAGAACATCCTCATTTGTAACAGTGATTTTTTGCGAGATGGGGGCATACCATTTATACTTCGGAATAGAGACCAGTGAACAGGCACGTGCTTGTCCAGAATTTCCTGAACAGGAATGGACCAGAATCACACAGTAGACCAGCTGGTGATCAGACCTGTTGCTGACAGATACTGAACAGCATAATAAGCACAATTTGCTTATTTGTGATAAAATATGGACCTGCTATAAAAAGTATTTTCCTGATACCTTTGTGAACTTGTTGCGGTTCTTGGTGGTTTATTTTGCTGTGCGGTTGATGTGCTTTATGTGGTTTAAGAGAAAGGCAGGCTGAGTTGCAGCGAACTCCGGTGTCAGGAACTCCTGCTCGGGTCTGTAGTAGGGGTCTCTTGGGCTTAGTATCCCTTTCAGAGCCTTGCAGGGTCTGAAGAGGCTCACATGCTTACAACCCTTCAGCTGCATTGGAGCTGTGCTAATCCGCTGCTCTAGGAGAGCGAACTGTCCTGCAGTGAGGCTCTGGGAAGCTCATTTAGGTCGCAAGAGACTTGCATCTGAGCCCCTGCACAGAAGAGGAACATGAATAGTGGGACAACCTGACTCTCTTGCGCCTTCTCACACGAGCCCCACGGGCTGTTTCACAGGCAAGACCGAGGGTAGAAGAGGTGTGGCGCTTGTTTCCGGTGTGCGCGGGGATTCACCCCGGTCTGGCACCGCAGGCGCGCTGGTGTCCTGTACTGAAGGGGGTAACGGCCAGCGGGGTGAGCCTGTTCGCCTGGCTCTTGTCGGAGAGGGTGAAGCGGAGTTGCCTGGAATGACGCCAGCAGAAGACTTTCACTTCGATCCAGCCCTCTTCGCCAGCGAGGCCGCGGGGGGGCGGAGTGTTGACCTGGCTGTCTGACGCGGGGCTGGCTCCCTCGTGTACCTTACAGTCTTGGCTGACGCAAACCTATTGTTAGGTGAGGCAGTGAGATCCCGTTCAGTACCAATTAAGTCATAAACTAAAAAAAAACTCTGTTTCGCAAACATTTGATAGATTGGATATCAAATGTCAGTTTCCCTTTTATCCTTTTTTAATGGGTTGTGTGTTGCTGCCTTTTAGCGTTGGTTGAATTTCCCGAACAGTCAGGAAAGGCGTTGTTTCGGCACAGCCGCGTGTACACAAGTCCTCTGTGGCTGCACACCTACAAGAGCACAGTCCGGCGTGGGCGTGTCAATGCCAGGGACCTGGTGGCAGTCTCGTATGTCAACCTGTGATCGGAGGGGACTTTCAACAGGATGTGGTATTTACTTATCGCCCAAAGGCGTGCGCGTTACAGCACAGTATAAACTGTGCAAGCGAAAGAGAAACCTGAAATTCAACAGGAAAGTGAGACAAGTGATACAAATCTCTTTTGTACATCTCTTTACCTTTTGTGCACTAATTGAAAACCAGATATCAACAGTAGACTGTGATGTGTGTGTGAGAATATCTGATTTTTGCAGTTATGTCAATGTAGGTCTGAATTTCTTGCAGGTTAGATGTTTTAGCAAATCCCGAAGCAGTGGTGAACTGTCCCGTACCTCAGCTCTCCATACCGATCAACAGTCGCTTTCACCTGGTGCAAGGTATGTTCGTCTGCGCACTGTCCGGTGGCAAGGCCCTGTGTGAAGATAGGAGGCACAGAAAGACACTGCTTTAAGCAATCTTGAATTTGAAGGCGTGTCCAGCCGAAAGAGTGCTGCAGAGCTGAGAGGGTCAGAAGTGAACCCATGAATTCTAGGAAGAAAGTCTAGTTATTGAGCAGAGAACAGGATGTTTGTTGACAAAAGAGCAACCCCGGCAGAAAGATCTGCTCATGTTAAAGACCGCAGCAAATTTGAGAGGGAGGTGCAACTAGGAATGCTTCAAGCAACACGGTACAAAAAACCCCATCTGCCTTACCCACAGGTGCAGTCAGTGTGGGAACTCCAGTGTCTTGGTATTCTTTACTCCTCCCAGAGAAAGCTTTTGTCTTTTCCCAGGGGTTCTGCTCCCTGTTGGTAACACTACATCAATTAGAGGACACAGAACAAAGCCCGTCATCGCTTTGTGGTGTCTTTGTCTGCTGGGCTTGCAAAACCTCTTCTGGATCTGGAGAGGACGGCTTGGCCACATGTTCGAGAGTTGTTTAGTTCATGTGGAGAGGAGAGCTGAGGCAGACTTTCTCTGTGCTGGTTGACTGTGCATTGACCTCCCTGCGTGTGTCTTGGTTTCAGAAGCAGAGGAGGCACTTCTCATTGACATCCCAGTGAATTGTGAGTATCGTTTTGTGAGGAATAAATGCTTGCCATTCTAATCAGCGCTATTAACATGTGCTGTTTTTCTGTCCGTTACTTTTGATGAGTTTGCTTTAATGAAAACTCACAGATCAAGATGTACCAGCACTCTGTATTCCTTTCCTTTTGTGTTTGAAAACTATGAGCTGAAAGTTGGATAGCAGGTGTGTAGCTCTTGAGTGTCCTCCAGGGCACTGGTATGGGGTTGTATGGCTCTTTCACAGGGCCTCGCGTGGATGCGTGTGCAGTTAGGTCATCAGTTACGCACAAAACATAGGATGCAAATCAAAACTAAAGGGGAGACCGACTGAGGATGGGAGGCACTTCTTCATGCCAAGGGCTGTGGGAGACAGAAACTAGCAACCCAGCCACATTATCAAAGCTCATAGTCTGGTTTCCTTCAGTAAATGGCTGGAAGAGATATTCAGATCAGTCTCCTACGACCAATCGAATGAAGGGGATGGACCAGATGGCCTCCTCTCATGCACACTGTGAATGGTCTTATGTTCAGATCTTTTTTCCCTAGCAAAGACAGGTCTCCTGTACTGTTGACTAACTTCTCCAGCATGCACGATGGCATGGAAGGATTTGCTCACTTGGGCAGGAAGTTACAGTGTCTGCCAGGCTGCTGTAAAACGTGCTTTAGTGCTAACAGTAAGGTAAATCGCTGTATATTAAATTAGCCATTATTTGTATTCTTCTGTTTTAGGAAGTCATTCTCGAAAGTCTGTCCAGCAGTCTTTAACGGACGTGTGTTCTGCAGGTGCTTAAATGTTAGTATATTGGAGACAAGGAGGGTGTGCGATGTGGGGGTTGGACAGTTTGACAGCTTATCATCCTGAGTTTCACAGTCCATGCTCTAATTTGCATGTGCCCCGTGCTTATTTGCAGGAGAGGTGTGGCCCGTGACCAGACAGAGCCTCTCTGTGGGCTGCAGGCTGGTGCTCTTGGCCTGCAGAGCAGGGATGGTGTCAAGCTGGTCCTTCTGTCCTTGTGCCCCGCAGCCTCGTGTCGGATCCGGGTGCGAGGGGAGCGTGCTCCAGAGCTGCTGCTGGAGCTGCCGGACGATGACCGGAGCCAGGCCTTCCTGTCGCAGGTCAAAGCGGTCAAGCAGCAAGGTAGGACCGGCGCGTCGAGAGGCGGTCCTCCTGCCTTAGCACTGACCCCGGGGAGAAACAAAACACTGAAGTTCGTGTCGTCCCTTTCCCGTTTTTAGTTTCTTCTTGAATTGAGGGTTTTTGGGGAAGTTAGCCTTGTAGCTGTTGTGATTATCCAAGCGAATTGAATAAATGGCTTGAAATAAAAAAAATACATACCACTATCACGTGGTCCAATGTTGGTTTTCTTAAAAGTTTGGAATCGCAGGTTGCCCGATATTCTTATATCCACATTATGAGCTGGCTTTGCGGCTGCAGCCCCTGCTCCGCTGGGGGAGGAGGAGCTGTAATCGTGGTGCGTTGCGAGCTGCAGGGTGGCGTGTAGGAGCCCCCCTCGCTGCGGACACGCACGCGCCCCCCGGCAGGAGGGCACGGGAGTCGCTCTTCGCCGGGAAGGCCAACCGAGCCCCAATCCCAGCCCTGCTCTGGTGGTGCTCAGCCAATCGTGGGTCGCCGCTTAGGAAGCTGCAGGCCTGCCTTGGCTTGGAACCTGAGTGAGAACAGGGCCACGGGGCTCTTCATGTGCGCCCCTGGCTCTGTGAGCACCCCCAAAGTCAGGGCAGGACCATGGAGCTCTCAAGCCAATAGGGGAGTACTGGGATACGGCTCTGTGTGCACCCCCAAAGTCAAGGCAGGACCATGGGGCTCCCGAGCCAATGAGAGACCGCCGGGCTTTGCGTACCCCCCTCGTGCACCCCTCCGTGCCGTGAGCGAGCACCTTAGCAGGAATCCCTCTTTCCTGGGCACAGGCTGCTGTCGGGCAGCAGGGCTCAGGTCGCGTGTCTCAGGCAAAGAGCCGGTTGTTCCTGTTGTGCTGATGTTGACTCCTGGTTGCCGTGGACAACAGGCGAGGGGTGAGCACGGCTCTCGTACAGCGAGCTGCTCTGCGCCTCCTTCTGGGACTGGTCCGACCAGGGAGCAGAGCTTCCTAAGTGTTTTGCACAAACGATTTCTATTTCTGGATTTCCGCGAGCTGGGTAGAGTGAGAGATTAAGAGTCTGGTTTCAGGAAAAGTAAAAGTGTGAACTAGGCTATTCCGAGTATCTTCCTCTCCCCTTCTCAGAATGATTCTTTGTTTTTTCAAGTTGCTTTTCGACTTTCCCCAGAGTATTTGTGTCTTTGATGAGGCTTCCTTTGCTTGAGGTTATCAGAATGGTGGTGGTGGTATAATAGGCTGTGTCTGTTGTTGAAATGTGTCACTGGTGTTACATTACAGACCTCTTTGGTTTGTTCATATCACTGTTTGCCCTTTTCTCTGTCTTTAATGGAGTTTATGCACAAGCAGTTAATGTGTGTTAGATTTAATTTTTAAGTCTTTTTGCTTAATCCTGGAAAGTTTGTCATTACTTTTATACAGTATACAGTAGTGTGGCTGTGTGTTTCGGTGTTGTGTTTCAGGGTTAGAGGAGTGTGGTTGTGTATTTTGGTGTCGTGTGTGGCTGTGTGCTTCGTTGTCGGTGTTGTGTGTTTGTGGGTCAGAGGAGTGTGGCTGTGTGTTCCGTTGTTGGTGTTGTGTGTTCAGTGTCGGCGGTGTGTGTTTCAGTGGTCTCCAGGAGCCAGCCCCCAGTGAAGATGGACCCCTCCGCTCCAGTATCAGATAAGGTCCAGGTGCCCAGGCCTGCTCAGAACAACACTAACAGACTGGCCAGCGTACAGCCCGCTGCGCCCAGCACCCACGGCGTGAGGACCACCAATTCACTGCCTCACAAACCTGACCCCTTCACCACAGGTACTGTTCTCTTGGTCAGTATTGATGCATCACGTGGCCTGTGGCTTGGTGCACCTGCTTCAGGCTCCAGACATTTGAAAGGAATAGGACTGATGCCTTATATATTTGACACCAGGATTGCGTAGTGTTGCAGCATCCCATGACATGCTCTCAGGCTGTTTCCATTACCCAGTGCTTGTTCTTCTGCTACCAGTAGGATGCTGTGAATCCTTCATGAACGTAAATAGGGTACCAGCGGTCAGCCTGACTTCGCTAAAGCAGTATTAATTTACTCTTAATCATGTTCTGGATAAATATCATAGTATTAGAAACATTATCACATTGTTGTGCTCCTGTAGCAGCTAGATCTGTTCAGGTTCTTGATCCCTGCTTCAAGCTTGTGGGTTTGCCCTGCTGCGTTCACCAGATCCCCGAGGTCCCTCTCAATCCCTGGCGTCCGATTTCGGCTTCGAAGAGAGTTTTGCGACCGCGTTGAAGATGGAGGAGAAGAACAATCAGCAGAACCGCCTGGGCGCCCCCCGGGAACCCCCCCCAGTCCCGCCCCTCCCGCCGCGGAGGAGCTCCAACCCTCCGAGCTCCGGCCCGGCCCCCAGGGACAGACCTCAGCCTGCGCAAGCGAGAGATGGGCCCCCTGGGAACGCTGCGAGCAAGGAGTGAGTGCTACAGCTGTTCTTATTCGCTGGCCTGACTCATTCCGGAATACCTGACTCATTCCAGAATACCTGCCGAGATGTGTTTTGACCATAAAGCAGTTGTAGACGGTCCTCAGTGCAGTGCGTAGCGTGAGTTTGCCTTAGGTCCTTGATCATCAGTGCACCCTTGTGAAAGATTCATTATTGGATTATTTTGGGGTTTTTTTGTCCGTGACTTTATTGTGCTGATCTGGAAACATACAAGATAATTATATTTCCTGCTTTTCCCAGTGGAAAGAGTATTTTTAATCCATTTAAGTGACATCTGTCATGGACATTTTGACTTTCCCAGAAACGGAATCGCAGTTCAGAGTTAAAAAGGAAGAAACGTACGGGCATGGACTCCACATTCTTGTTTTGACTGCGTTAGAGTTGCTTTTTGTGTGAGAGCTGTATGTGGTAAGAAGTGCTCTTCTGGGGCCCTACTGTGCTTGCAGCAGTTCCAGGTTCCCAGGTGAGAGGTCGCAGGCGTGGAATGACAGCCCCACCCACATGTCCAGCACCATGCGGCACATGTTTACCAGCTCCGCGGGGCAACGGGAGGGCCTGATCAAGCACCGGCTGGTGAAGAAGGAGAAGGAGTATGTGGACTTTCAGAACTTCAGGTGAGACCCGCTGAGCCCAGAGATGGGTCTGATTCCCCAAGGGCAGAGTGGGACAGGCGAGACGTGCTGAGCCCAGAGACAGGACTGGTTCCCCAAGGGCAGAGTGGGACAGGCGAGACGTGCTGAGCCCAGAGACGGGTCTGGTTCCCCAAGGGCAGAGTGGGACAGGCGAGACGTGCTGAGCCCAGAGACGGG